ATATTAATTTATACTTTTACCACCAGGGTGTGAGAAGGCCTATCTCAATAATCCTTTACAAGTGGATTTTTCTTTTTTACATCTTTATTGGAGTATAATTACTTTAGAATGGTGTGTTAGTTTCTGCTTTATAACAAAGTGAATCAGTTATACATATACATTTATGTATACATATACATATACATATACATGTTCCCATATCTCTTCCCTCTTGCGTCTCCCTCCCCCCCACCCTCCCTATCCCACCCCTCTAGGTGGTCACAAAGCACCGAGCTGATCTCCCTGTGCTATGCGGCTGCTTCCCACTAGCTATCTATTTTACGTTTGGTAGTGTATATATGTCCATGCCACTCTCTCGCTTTGTCACAGCTTACCCTTCCCCCTCCCCATATCCTCAAGTCCATTCTCTAGTAGGTCTGTGTCGTTATTCCTGTCTTACCCCTAGGTTCTTCATGACATTTTTTCTTAAATTCCATATATATGTGTTAGCATATGGTATTTGTCCTTCTCTTTCTGACTTACTTCACTCTGTATGACAGACTCTGGGTCCATCCACCTCATTACAAATAGCTCAATTTCGTTTCTTTTTATGGCTGAGTAATATTCCATTGTATATATGTGCCACATCTTCTTTATCCATTCATCCGATGATGGACACTTAGGTTGTTTCCATCTCTGGGCTATTGTAAGTAGAGCTGCAATGAACATTTTGGTACAGGACTCTTTTTGAATTATGGTTTTCTCAGGGTATATGCCCAGTAGTGGGATTGCTGGGTCGTATGGTAGTTCTATTTTTAGTTTTATAAGGAACCTCCATACTGTTCTCCATAGTGGCTGTACCAATTCACATTCCCACCAGCAGTGCAAGAGTGTTCCCTTTTCTCCACACCCTCTCCAGCATTTATTGTTTCTAGATTTTTTAATGGTGGCCATTCTGACTGGTGTGAGATGATATCTCATTGTAGTTTTGATTTTCATTTCTCTAATGATTAATGATGTTGAGCATTCTTTCATGTGTTTGTTGGCAGTCTGTATATCTTCTTTGGAGAAATGTCTATTTAGGTCTTCTGCCCAATTTTGGATTGGGTTGTTTGTTATTGAGCTGCATGAGATGCTTATAAATTTTGGAGATTAATCCTTTGTCAGTTGCTTCATTTGCAAATATTTTCTCCCATTCTGAGGGTTGTCTTTTGGTCTTGTTTATGGTTTCCTTTGCTGTTCAAAAGCTTTGAAGTTTCATTAGGCCCCATTTGTTTATTTTTGTTTTTATTTCCATTTCTCTAGGAGGTGGGTCAAAAAGGATCCTGCTGTGATTTATGTCATAGAGTGTTCTGGCAGGCGGATTCTTAACCACTGTGCCACCAGGGAAGTCCCTCGACTACTGTTAATTGAGTCAAGGGTAGGGCATCTTACCCACAAACATCTTATCTATAGATTGGCAGGGGGTTCATGAGATGGACTGTCTTAAGGAAATCGATCCTCTCTTTGGGGAATTTAGATCTCAAGACATGAAGAGTTGAACAGCTATAGCAAGATTAGAAATCATACATACGGGCTTCCCTGGTGGCGCAGTGGTTGAGAGTCCGCCTGCCAATGCAGGGGACACGGGTTCGTGCCCCGGTCCGGGAAGATCCCACATGCCGCGGAGCGGCTGGGCCTGTGAGCCACGGCCGCTGAGCCTGACGCGTCCGGAGCCTGTGCTTCTCAACGGGAGAGGCCACAACAGTGAGAGGCCCGCGTACCGCAAAAAAAAAAAAAAAAAAAAAGAAATCATACATAAAGAAAAGCAGGGGTGCACCTGAAACAAGAGTACCAAGATGGCAGAGTCCTGGGATAAGAACTGATCAAAAACTTACTAATGCTGAGGGAGTGACAGCCAGGTCTACACTGGGTCCTAAGGGCCACCCAGTTTCTGAGCTACGTTCCACTCTCTGTGAGACCTACATATTCAGCCCTTCTTGTAGTGACAACTAGGGTTCCTGAACTTCCATGGGGCCCAACTGTGTGTCTGAGGTTCCTGTTTCTCTATGTATTCTTAAAATGTACCTCCAGGTTTCAGTTAGGGTTGTTCCAGTTCAAGTAGCGGGAATCCTAACTCAGTCTACCTTAAACTGTAAGGAAATACATCTCAAATAACAGGAGTTTCAAAGGTAGTGAGCTCTATAAACAGCACTATCAGGGCTGAAGCTCCGTATCTCTCAGTTCTGACCTTCCCCCCCAGTTGGCTGTAAACAGCAGTTGGAACAACATGTTCCTTGTTCATATACAGGTTAGGGTACGACAACGGGTTAGGGTTAGGGTACGTGTTAGGGTACGGGTTAGTGTTAGTGTACGGGTTAGGGTTAGGGTACGCGTTAGGGTTAGGGTTAGGGAACGGGTACGATTTAGGGTACAGGTTAGGTTACGACAACAGGTTAGGGTTAGGGTACGTGTTAGGGTACGGGTTAGTGTTAGTGTACGGGTTAGAAAGAAATAGGGTTTCTTCCCCAAACCATGTAATAAAAATCCTGCTCGTCAGCATGATTGTGCCAACTTTGGACAGATGCCAATCTTTGAATGGCCTAAGAAATGCCACATGCAAGGAATTCCCTGGCGGTCCAGTGGTTAGGACTCTGCACTCTCATAGCTGAGGGCCCAGGGTTCAATCCCTGGTCGGGGAACTAAAATCCCACAAGCTGCGCAGCAGGGCCAAAAAACCAAGCCAAAACAAAACAAAATAAAAAAGAAATGCCACCGGCTGATTAGGTTAAGCCAGAATCTCTGAACCAATAAAAGGCAAGGGGATGATATGGACATGACTGACTTTAACTGCAGCGACCTACTCTTGGAGCTGAAGATAGTCATCTTTTTCTCAGTGACATGGGATATGTAAGGGGAGATGTGGACTCCTGAACAAAACTAGGATTTTATCAAGAAGGAAGAAAGAAGGAAATGGATGTCCTGAAGGCAGACAATAGTATTCACTACACCTCATTCTCAAACAAACCTGTTGTTTGAGGTGGAACTATACAAGTTGGAACTGTTTCAGCCTAGAGAGAGTTTCTGAACATCAGTTTTTTGAAGTTTTCCTCAAGTAACCCACTTTAATGTTTCTTAATTCTCCTTTAATTTTCCCACGTAAAAATATGTAATACTTCATACATTCAAAAGCATACATTTATATTAAGTATATATGATATGTGTTTAAATGTATACCTTTGTATGAAATACTGTATAACATATATAGATACTATAAAATATTACATACATAGAGTATATTTAAGGGATAAAGAATATTACTAAAATGAACACCCTTGTACATATAACCTAATTTAAGAAAAAGAATATTACCCATAACTTTGACACTTTCTATATAATCCTCTCTGATTACATTCCCTCCTTCTCTCACCTCCACCCCACCTCTTAGGTAACCACTCTCCTGGATTTTGTAATTGTCATCCTTTTGGTTTATTTTATAGTTTTACCCATTACTTGAATACCTTAACAATATGTTTGTAATGTGTATGCTTTTGAGTTGCCTATAAATGAAAACATGCTGTATATAGTAATTTTTGTGGTAGAATATACATAACATATAATTCACCATGCTAACCATTTTCAAGTGTACAGTTCAGTGGCATTAAGTACATTCACACTGTTGTGCAACCATCACCACCGTCCAACTCCAAATTTTTTTGTTTTCTAAAACTGAAACTCTGTACCCATTAAACAAAAACTTCCAATTCTTCCCTTCCCCCAACTCCTATCAATCCTGATTCTATTTTTTGTCTTCATGAATTCGACTACTCTAGTTACCTCATATAATTGGAATCATATAGTATTTGTCCTTCTGTGACTGGCTTATTTCACTTAGCATAATGTTCAAGATTCATTCATGTTGTAACATGTATCAGAATTTCCTTCCTTTTAAGGTTGAATAATATTCCATTGTATGTATAAGCCACATTTTGTTTATCCATTCATCAGTGGATGGGGCACTTGGGTTGCTTCCACCTTTTGGCCATTGTGACTAATACTGCTATGAATATGGGTGTACAAATACCTGTTCAAGTTTCTGCTTTCAATTCTTTGGAGTATATATCCAGTATATAGTTTTTTGCAACTTTCTCTTTTTTTCTGAGTTATGTTTGTGAGATTCATCCATGTTAGTTTTAGCTTTAGTTCACTCACCTTAATTGCCATATGATATTTCACTGTGTGAATATTAAACAATTTGTTTATTCATGCTCGTATAGATGATCATTTCAGTTTTTGCAGTTTTTAATATTAGAAACAGAGCTTTATTCTTTTACATGCCTCCTTGTATATATGTAAAAAAGTATTTGTAATCCAAGATAATATACTTAGAAGTGAAATTGTGTCATAAGGCATTGTATGTCTTCAAATTATTGAAGATAATATATTCTCAAATTATTCTTTAAGTACTGTACACATTCGTACTCCCATAAACAGTGTGGGAGTTTCTGTTGCTCCACAGCCATATTAGAACTTGTCATTGTCAGTGTAACAGATATTGCCAGTTGTCCCAGCATTCACTCTTCCCTTCTTCCTTTAATAATAGGTCTTATGAGTTTTATTTGGGTTGCCCAAGTAGAAATTTTATTTCCCAGACTTCCTTGCAGTTAGGCATGGCCTACCATTTAAGTTGTAGAGAACAGGGTGTAATTGAAAATGATAAGTATCTCTTCTGGGTTATGACCTTAAAAGGCATGCTCCTTGGGACTTCCCTGGCCTTCCAGTGGTTAAGACTCCGTGCTTGCACTGCAGGGGGCCTTCGACCCCTGGACAGGGAACTAAGATCGCACATGCTGGGGGGCAACTAAGTCCGCATGCCGCAACTGCTGAGCACGCACACCACAACTACAGAGACTGTGCACCATAACGAAGATCCTGTGCATCGCAACTAAGACCTGACATGGCCAAAAATAAATTAATTAATTTAAAAAAAATTTTTTTTAAAGGTATGCTCCCCTAACCCATTCTACCTCCCTACTGACTAGATGCAGATTTGATGGCAGGAGCCAGAGCAGCCACCTTTAACCCAGAGATGGAAGCTTTAGGTTGAAGATGACGACTTTGGACTGCTTACCTCTGAATTGTTCTATGAGTGAAAATGAACTTTTGTTTTGCTTAATCCACTGTACTGCAGTGTCTCATTGCTATAGCAGCTTGGACTACTTCCTAATTAATACATTTATTCTTTGATTTTAAAATCATTCCCAATTTTTCCTTGCTCAGAAAGCCTCTGTTTATTCTCTTTCAAAATCTTTGTGGTGGTATTCTTTTTGCATTTGATTGATAATGCTAATCTCCTTTTTATGCCCAGGTCTTTGAATACATTTGCCTGAAAATGGAGGCCCTTCCCCCAGGGGAGTGGGTATTTGTTGCTTTTGTTTGCTCACATCCTCTCCTCCTTTCTAACCGTACCCAGACTTTTTTCTTGGCATGTTACACTCAAATTATATGCAGTTGTATTAGGATTTAGATCAGAGTGCCCAGCCTTTTCACTATAGATGTTGAAGGGGAGAACTGGAGAATCCTTCCTCTTGTTAGGGGAAACACTGACTGAAACTGCCAGCCCTGGCCAGGCAACATAGTAACCACTTGCATGAGTTATCTTAAACAGGAGGTCCTGGTAAGCAACCACCAACCGGAAGAATTCGGGAAAGGTCAAAAGGAGAGAGGAGATGCCAATCCATATGTCCTTCCAACCTCCCAGAATCCTTGCTGGAACCCATTTTGGCCTGGCACTGCGCGAGCCACCAGGAGGGAGCCTGAGTCAGAAAGATTGGCCAGAGACAACCCGAAAACTAACCCCATTCCCATAAAACCCAAGACTGCAAGCCACGTGGCAGAGAGTCCTCCCAGGTTCCCTTACCCTCCTGCTCTCCACCTGAGTGCCGCTTCCCAATAAAGTCTTGTTTTGTCAGCACGTGTGTCTCCTCAGACAATTCATTTCCGAATGTTAGACAAGAGCCCAGTCTTAGCCCTGGGACAGGTTCCCCTTCCTGCAACACTCTCACCACCCCCTATATCGGAGAAGGCATTGAGTGGCTAAAGGAAAAAAAAAAAAAAGAGTTTAACTTTGTTTCATACAGCATCCAGAGCTTTGATAGTAGAATAGCTCCTGGATTGGCTTTTTCCTGCTCCTAGACCTAGTTATATGGCCTTCTTGTCTGTTTTGTGACTTCCATAATATCTTTCCAAATATATTTCTTTTAAAGTTTTAGCTGCTGCTATGGATAACATCCAAAGAACTGTAAGGGATCAACTACTCTCAAGTTACAGGCTCTCCTAAACTGTGCAGATCCACTGGGAATGAAGGACTGACCACATGCAATTGAGATTACTTATTAACACCTATGGAGTTTATTTTTAGGATAAAATGAAAGCGTAACTCCATGGTGATAAGAAGGGAAAGAAGTACTCACACTGCCAAGGTTATATATGACCAGGTTACCCTGAGCCTAGACACTATCCATCCCAAATCTTAAGGGGTCCAATAGCAGATAATCTGCCTCTAGATCCTGTTGTTTAGAATGGTACAAACTGCAAGAGGCAGCAGGGATTTTATTCCACAAAATAATACGCAAGCCACCAGCCAATCAGAATATGGCTTCAAACCACTAACCAATCAAATGTCACCCCCTTGTCCCCGCCCTCACCCAAGTCTCCCTAGTAACAGCAAGAATGAAACATAAGGAAAGAAGGGCAGCTAGATTTTTTTTTTAATATTTATATATTTATTTGGCTGCACCGGGTCTTAGTTGCAGTATGCGAACCCTTTAAGTTGTGGCATGTGGAATCTAGTTCCCTGACCATGGGTCGAACCCTGGCCCCCCCTGCACTGGGAGCACAGAGTCTTATCCACTGGACCACCAGGAAAGTCCCGGGCAGCTGGATTATAAACCTAACCCAGAGAAGGCTCATGCTGAGTTGATTTTGACAGTATTGACAATTAACAGCTGACCCCCCCAGAGTTTCCCACACAAAACCTTCCGTGTGATTTAATTCATCCCTTATTTCATTTTGAATAAGAGCACTTTACGTTTTCATTGTAACTTTACTTTTTACATTCTAGATTAGTAAAATTAGTCTCTAAAAAATGGGCTTGGGGTTGATCATATAACTTGAAATTAATATTACTAAAATGTCATGAGGAGAGTATTACACAAACAATGAGTTTTCTTTTAAATAATTTTCTGGAGATGGGTTCTGTATAACGAAGATGGCTGTGACTTTTGAAAATTAATTGTGCAGGCTACAAAATTTGAATGGCCAACTATATGTTAGTTCCTTAAGTGTAAGAATGTAGCAGATAGAGGCTTCCCTGGTGATGCAGTGGTTAAGAATCCGCCTGCCAATGCAGGGGACACAGGTTCGAGCTCTGGTCTGGGAAGATCCCACATACTGCGGAGCAACTAAGCCCGTGTGCCACAACTACTGAGCCTGTGCTCTAGAGCCCGCGAGCCACAGCTACTGAGCCCGCATGCCACAACTACTGAAGCCGGCGCGCCTAGAGCCGGTGCTCCACAACAAGAGAAGCCACTGCAATGAGAAGGCCCTGCTTGCCACAACTAAAGAAAGCCCGCACGGCAACAAAGACCCAACGCAGCCAAAACTTAAATAAATAAATAAATAAATTTATTTTTTAAAAAAAAGAATGTAGCAGATAGGATTTCCTATAGGATCTAGAACAATGCTGATATCTATCTTGAAACAATGAGGGGAACGTGGAAGGGCCTGTTTTAAACAGCGTTGCTGTTTCCCTATTAGGTGCCTTGCTGAGGGAGGGTTTCTGGATACAGGGCCTGGGGCCTGACAGCTAGAACCTACCATGCCAGGTAGGAAAGGAAAAGGCAAAGAGAAAGCTTCCTGCCTTCCTCAACCTAATCTCATCTTTCTTTGTCTTCCACTACCATCACTTTTCTTCTCCTTCCCACTCTTAAAAACTTTAAAAAAAATTGTGAGGTACAAAACACAAACAGGAAACCACAAGGATAAATTTACAGCTCAGTAAGTTTTAACAAAGCAAATATTTATGTAATTACCACTTGGTTCAAGAAACAGAACATTGTTAGCACCTAAAACCCTACTTGTGACCCCTCTTGGTCACTACACTTTTCCTTCTCCCCAAAGGCAACCACTACCTTCCTTTTTTTTTTTTTTTTTTTGGCATGTGGGATCTTAGTTCCCCAACCGGGGATTGAACCCATGCCCCCTACAATGGGAGTGCAGAGCTCTAACCACTGGACAGCCAGGGTAGTCCTTACCTTCACTTTTAACATTATGATTTAGTTTTGTCTATTTTTGAGCTATATGTAAAGTCAATTTTACAGTAACTATTCTTTTGAACTTCCATCTTTCACAATTTTCTTGGAGGTACATTAGTATTGAATTATACAAACAGAAAAGTGCACAAATCAAAAGTGGTTCAGCTTGATGAACTTCTCATAAACTGACCATACCTATGTAACAAGCACCCAGATGGAGAAACAGCATTAGCAGCTCCCTTTCAGTCACTATCCCTCCACTGTCCTGAATTCTAACACTATATATAAATTCTGTCTATTTTTGAACTTATATATGTGAAAACATATAGTATATATTCTTTTCTGTCTAGCTTCTTTTGCTCAACATTGTGAGATTCATCTGAGTGGTTTCATGTAGTTATAGATCATTCATTCTCTTGGGTGTTTTGTATTCCATTGTACAAATATACCACCATTTGGTGATCTATTCTAGTGTAGGTAGACATTTGTGTTGTTTTCCAGTTTTCAGCCATTACAAATAATGTTGCTGTGAACATTCTTGTACATGCCTTCTGGTGAACATATATATGCATTTCTGTTGGTTATATGTTTAGGAGTGGGATTCCTGGGTCATAGGCCCTGGGGCTGTTCAGCTTTAGTAGATAGTGCCAAATAGTATTTCAGAGTAGTCATCCCAATTTGCACTCCCACCAGCAGCATATGAGAATTCCATTTATTCCATTCTTTGGCTTGCAGCTGCATAACTCCATTTCTGCCTTCACCATCACATGGCATTCTCTCTGTGTGCTGTCTTCAAATGGCCATCTTATAAGGAGACCACTTGGGCCCATCCTACTCCAGTATGACTTCATCTTAATTAATTACACCTGGGACAACACTATTTCCAAATAAGGTCACATTCTGAGGTGCTGGGGGTTAGGATTTAAACATCTTTTTTGGGGGGGTGTAGGGGGGACACAGTTCAACCCGTAACAGACATGATAGCAGTGGACATCTCTTCTTGATCTCAGTGGGAAAACTTTCAACTTTTCAGCATTAACTGTGATGTTTGCTGTAGTTTTCTTAGTAAATACTCTGTATAAGATTAAGGAAGTTTCCTTTTATTTCTGGCTTGCAAATCTTTTTAAAAATCATAAATGGATATTGAAATTTATGAAATGAAAGAAAACATTCTTTTTCTGCATCTAATGAGATGATCATCTGATTTTCTCCTTGTCTGTTCTATAGTAAATTACATTTATTTTTATAATTTTCAAAGAGAATTTCAATTGAAAATATTAAAATTACAAGTGGGATTTCTGAGTTGGGTAATGTTCTGTTTCTTGATCTGTACACAAGTGTGATTGGTTTGTGAAAATTCACTAAGCTGTCCACTATGATTTCTAATTTTATGTATATACTTTATATTTCAATAAAAGCTAAAAGAAACACAGCTAAATTCCTATTTGAGAATGAAAAGCTTTTTCTTCCAAAGGAAACTTAGCTGCCCCACTTTCCGCTCACATCCACCTCCTATGAGAGGTGAAGATCTGGGTTATTAAGATGGAAGCAAGGTCAAACCTGTAAGTGGTGCACAACTGACACATTGACACACTTAATAGTCTCAGAGTTAGGTAGGTTTTTGTTTTGTTTTGTTTTCAGAATTCAGTGTGTATCAGCTTTGTTTTTCAGTGATTCTCTCAAGCCAAATGGGTTCATGTTTAGTATTACATGAGATTGGATTATTTTCTAAATCCAATCTGGTCCTCTCTAGACAATCTTGTTATCTGGCTTTTGCTATCTTTCCTTTGACTGATATTCTCCAACATAAAGTCTTCTGCATTGAATTATTCTAAAGAATTCCCTTTCTTCCCTTTTACAATACCTGCAGGAATTGATGTACTCTTACATTCTGTCTTCAGAATACATCTTCACAGATTTGTTCCTAATTGGACTTTCTGTTAGAATTGAATTAAGTCTATTCACTTAATTTGAGAAGAACTGACATCTTCATAATTTTTCCTCTTTTCATTCAGAACCATGGTAAACCTCTCCATTATTTCAAGTCTAATCTTATTCCACTCGGATATGAGTCTGTATAGTTCTGTAGTTTCCTTTATATAGATTCTGCATATTTCTTATTAGTGTTATTCCTACCTGCTTCATGGTTTTTTGTTGTTGTTGCTATTGTGAATGGAACCTTTTTTTTTTTTTCCATTCAAAAGCGAACCCGTAGAGCGATAGGATCTCTACCACCGCTCTCAGCTGTGAGACTCTATGGTTCCTTGGCTATATAGGAACATTCAGCTCGCCCCAACATTATCCGAACCGGAAGGAAGGTGGCAACCGAGAGTCGCCAAGCAAAGGGCCGCTCTATCTTGCCTTTGTTCTCCTCTCGGTGGCTACTGCGCAGGCGTAATCGCCCCGGTACCGTCCCCACCTTCCCGGTCGCGGGCGCAGCTCGGTAGCGCCGGCGCACTGGCGCGCTCCGTTTACACGCTCCGGGGCCTGTAGGCGCCGCGAGTTCCGGCTGTCGCCGTCGCCGCCGCAGCTCCTGGAGGTCGGTTGCGACGCGTAACGACGCCGGGACGAGCGCTGCGCCTTCTTCTCCGATATGTACCCGAATTGGGGCCGGTATGGCGGGAGCAGCCACTATCCGCCGCCGCCGGTCCCGCCGCCA